GAGGTCAGATTCGGAATCAGCGACCTTGAAAACTTTGGGACAAGAAATTTTATGAAAATCTGCTAACTTTAATCTTTTCCGATACTCATGATCCAATTTTTGAATATTAGCGTGATATTCAAGGGGTTAAGCACTTTTATGGTTCAAGTATAAAAATATCAAATATCAAAAGGTATTCCAAATTTGAGCACTTAATTAGGTGACGGTAAATCTCTATCGAGGAATTCCAGTGGGATTCGAATCGTATTAAAGTAGCAATGAAAAAAAAGTTAAAAGTGCAGGTGTTGCAACTTACGTTCGTTCTTATTACAAGGACTGTCGATGATTTCGTGTGACTTTAATCCAAAGTTATTTTCGGCAAGATCGTTATTATCGGTTCGAAACGCGCGATTTCTGCTCGGCCGAAGCGTTAACACGTCAGCGCGCTCGACGGCGCCCAAATGGGTGGGTTACCGGTTCTTACTTACATACATCCTATACCAATATGCCGGGAGGCGATCGCTCGCGGAATAATCACGTGGAATTTGTACGCGTACTTTTTCTTCCCACGTGAATGCGAGTCGCGACGGAAATTCGTGCGATAAAATTTGTCGCGCATAAACCGACCCTTTGGATCCGTGGTTGTAAATCGTAGCGAAAAACAAAAAAAAAAAAGTTCGGCAAAAAAATTACTCGACTGTAGCACCGTTCGGGCCTGATCGTACAGGCCGATTTCCATGAGCCCCGATTTTGCCGCTTCTATAAAACTAAACAGTCCCATCTTCTTCTCATTCCAGCACCATACGAAAGACGCCTATACGAAAGACGCGTGCTGCTCCCAGAACTCCCTTTAAAGTTCCATCGCACCGAACGAAAGGGACTCGTGGTGCTGCTTAGGAATTCAAAGATTTCTAGCCTCGTTGAAAAATTCGAGAGATTCTTTCTCCCTTTTGAAAGAATATACATGCATATATACACCTTTATAAGGAAGGAAGAATAAGGCATCCTGGTCCACGCCTTGAAAAATATGAGGTTCCGTAGTCGCAGCAGCGAATGGTCTGCTGCCCCGGGGGATTAGGAAGATCTAACTGTAGTAGAACTTAGTCGGGATTAAGGCGGTATTAAAATTAACCAGCGGTTAACTGACTTTCGTTCACTTCTAAACGTCTGCGTAAGCCCCCGAGTTAAATGGGACTTCCGTACCGCCTCCCACGGGCCCCTGGAAAACTCGAGGACAAAGTTAACTGGATAATTTTCTTTAGCTTCCTTAAATACCCGTCCTCGTGAAAGAGGCTCGCGCGTTTACAAACTTTGACATTTCTTCGTTAAGCTGTTTGCTCCTCGTATGGTGGTTGCCTCCTTGGTTGTTGCGGTCACCCGCAGATTATCACTTGCCCGCCCACTCGTAAACCCTCGTTCCTCCGATGTATCTTCTATGGGGGATGACGGCCTCAGGATACTTTCTCATGGGGTTGGTCGTACAGTCTCTAGGTATCTCATTGAAACCATCTGCCACGAACGTACAGTCTCAAGAACGTAGTTTCAGACTGTGGTAAAATTTTTTTTTAAAATTTGCAAATAATCACTGCGAATGTATAATGACTCGGTGAAAAATTCCACGCGCAAAATTTCACGCTTTGCAATCTCAATGGAGTAATGCGAGGGGACCGAGAGGAAGATGAAGCGGAAGATTAAGGGTTCGAGAGCCAAGAGGAAAGGATGCGCTGAAATATTCGCGAGTCTCGTTGCTCCACCCACTTCCTGACATTTTAACAAACAGCGCCGCGCCCAGAGCGGATAATTATTTTTGCGGAGGGTTGCGATCGTTCGCGTCTTCATTTATTCGCTCGTTCCTTGCGCCATTCTTGGTTTGGCAGGTTGCCTCTTCTTAACCTGCCTCCGGGGCCGTGAGGGGTTGCGGCCGGAGATCTCGCTTCGGAAACGCGTAGGGCTCGAAGGCGTGGTGTCAGTCAGCGTTTTAAATCACTTCCACTCGAAGAATATCCAGCCTTTATTACACCGTGGCTCACACCCACGTCTTTTGATCCACGCTGCTTCATTTGCATCGGATCGAAGAGCCCGAAACATATTATGTTTATTCAGCTCCACCAGTCCCCTTCATACTCCCCGTGATCGCCGTGTAATTCCGGTATAGTAAAACTGCTGGACAATTTTGTAGCAAACTTCTTAGGAACTATTGGCGGGGATACTGTACAGTGCGTATACTTGAAAACGATTTGATTCTTATAACTGTTCACGGATTTCCTTCTTTTCACAAATCCTTAAAACTCTACACGTACTCGGCGTGTAATTCAGTATGGGGTATGCGTCGGGGTGGGATATGAACTTGGCATAAGAACGTAGAGCGCGTACGGGACGATGAAAAAGGATAAAGCAAAGCATAGAGAAAACCAATATGAAATTATCCTCACGCGAGCCAGCTCGAAATTGCAGGTAATAAAGAGCCGATAAACAAATGAAGCAATGCGATGCAAGAAATGCTTAAGAGGAGCAGGGAACAGCTCGAGAAACGCGAACGAATGGGGTTGAGGAACAGGATTAAAGAGATGAAAAAGCAGGTGCGGGGGAAAGGGGGGCAGAGGGTGTGTTACGTAAAACAAATATCCAAGTTAATACGCAAGTGGGATACAGCCATACGTACAGCGTTGCTATGAACGCTGGTGTCTACGAAGATCGTTGCCAAGGTAACCATTCCGAAGCAGAAAGATCGAGAGACTAAGTATTGTCCTAAAAAATGAATTGTTCCACTAGAAAAATAAATTTCTCTCGCCATCGAATCCCAACGTTAATTCTGAATATTAGGTGAATCATCGTTAAGTGAAAATAAAAATAATATAAATCAAATATGCAAATAAATTGGATCAGTTTTAGGAAGAGCTTGCCAAATTATTCATTCCTGCGAAATTATTAAGGATTTGAGTGAAGACTGGGAAAAAGGTGTATATATCCTTTCGGCAGCTAGGGTAATCAAATGATGGAACCTGCATGGTTGATCGAATGCAATTCTAGTAGATTCAACGGATAGCGTGAGGTTGCATCGGTAATCCGTTAATTAATTAACCGTTAGAGTCATCAGCACGCGATCCACGGTACTTCTGCATCCGAAGAGCTGCTGGTCAGCAGTTTTACTGCGCTCAGGTGGAACCAAGATGGCCGCCATCTACAGCTCCGACGATTGAGTGGGGGTAATGACGCTCATCACCCGACAGTGTTTTGCTATACCAACATCGCCTGCTCCGAGAGCCACGAAGAGATTTGATCTCATCTGCGATAGGAAGACCCTCTCTCCTTACCCATTCCTTTCTTTCTTTCTTCGTCTTATATTATATATACGTGTATATAACATATGCTCTCTTTCTCTTTCACTTGACACAACGCATAGCCCCCTTGTGACCCTCTCTCGTAACTTCGCTATCTGCTCTTGTGCTATGTTCTTGTTGGTTATGTTACATCGTTCCGTGCTATATTGGCTTTCTTGATCGGTTGATCTTGTAGAACAGTCTCATGAAAATGCAGATGAAACGAAATGGAATAACAGATAGACATTGTTGCTCCTTATCGGAAAAATGAATTACAGTGCATATCATATCGTGGTTTGGAAGTTATGTGAAACAAAATTTTTTTGGAAACTTCATTTCGACAAAAATATTTGCATATACGCTTTTCACTGGATACTCCGAGTGTGTGACGTATTACACGTAGGTAACGCATAGAGAATGGCAAACGTGAACTTGTAATTATATTATAAATTCAAAGATGGCAGATACGGTGGTTGGAAGTTGCGAAGTTTGGTGGTTGCGAATTGCAAAGTGCAAAAGGAACTGGGAAGAGGAGCCTTGGGCTACCAGAGAATTTCATGTATGCGTGTAGATAAGAAGAGTGTTGGATGGTTACTACTGAGAATTGGAGGTTAGGTCGGTTAAACGAATTTAAATGAACGGTCCAATGAAGGACCGAAGTGTAAGAAGTAGTAAGGTTGGTAGGTGGGTACGGAGGATGTCATGGAGGTGAATTTGAAACGTATAAGAAAACAAAGGAGCATCGCCAGATGATGCACGAGGTGTGTTTAGGCGCGCGATAGTGACGTGCTGCACCGAGTTCAGCACCACGGGAGCCGTTTGGTCCTGGTCCGTCTCACTCGCCGGTACCCTGACGCTGCTCGTGCCCTCTTCGTCGCTTCCTAACAAGACTGGGATAGAGCCGTCAAAGCCGCAGGAGGGCCGCGGTGCCTGGGAGACCCCCCGCTGGCCGCCATCTTGGCTTTTATTAACGAGAAAGGAGTTCCTCCAGGGATCACGAGGAAGGGGATCAACCTGGTGGAGTTCAGTAGGCTTTCCAAGGAGTGCGACAGAATTCATTAGAAGTCCTCCAGCTAATGACTACGGTGGCTGCCCGGATGGCTCCTTGACCCCCTGCCTAAGATCCTCGTACCCAGGACGTCCTGAACTTCTCTTCAGATTCGCTCGGCCAAATTTCAGGATCATCAGGATCATCAAACAAATCAAACAAAAGTGATCATCAGGGTGCCGTGGATGCTCGCATTGTTCGACGTCACAGGTATACGCACGAGGTGGACGCGCGTGGGCGCACTCGTCTCTTTAACGTTTCGCATAAATTCACAATGGAAGGAGTACTTCTCCAATTTCCCCGTAGTAAACGTCAAGCGAATAAAAGTCAGTCGCGTAAAACGGCGCGGATGGGCAGCGCGCGGACGTGGCACCACGAAACGACGGGTTCCTCGAGACGCAGAGTCCAGTTAATAAAGCGGGTCGTATTTTAAATCCGAATTAACATAATACTCGTACGCCCTATAATTGCGGCCTAATGCCCGGTGTAGCCCGCGTGTGGACGGGGCTTAATGGGGCCCATAAGCAGCGGGATAAATAAATAATCAGATTCATTGTGCGAGCCGGTGCGCAGCCCTAACCAGAAAGGCATTTATCTTGGCTGACACTGTGTTTATTAAAAATAATGACTCGAGAGCTCCGGCTCACCCCTACTGCCCCACACCTTTCCTCCCTCCTTCTCCTCTTTCATCCTCTTCTTCTTCTCCTTCGAGTTCATCCTATTCCAGCTCCTCCTTCGCAGCCTCCTTTTTCTCAATCTTCTCCTTCGCTCGTCCTTACACTTGCTTTTATTTTATCCTGCTTCGCTACGTCTTTTCTGCTTCTTACGTTCACTTCGTCTTAAACGCAAACCTTCCCCGATGAATTCGAACACTTGGAGCCGTTAGTGACTCCCACTCTCGTTAGTAGCGCCATTGAACCACGATACACGCCCTCCGCCTCGTCTTCTGAATCTATGGAGAGGATTAATGAAAAATTTTGTCCAACTTGACACACGGACCTTACCTCAATCTTCCGAGTAATCCATTGTTATGCCAAGGACGTTGATACTGGTACTCCTAGGGATGTTCCTTTGAGTAACAGATGCAGAGTTTGCTTAACCACCAAACACCTCTTCATCAACATTCCACACCAGGTCCGAAATCTCGGAGGGAACGAGCCAGTCCAGCTATTCAGAAGAAGTGCGGACCGGCCATAAGTCAGACCCCAAATAACTGTTAAGTTTCAAAAACAAAAGGTAATTTGTTCGCCGAACACGTCCCTAACAGGCAGCCCTTCAGCATCTCTTCAGCATCCCCACGCAACGGTACCAAGCAATCGGGAGATCTCCCCAAGGATAGCAGAGCCTTCTTATCGTACTCTTCGTCCTCTGTGGCTTCTCCTCTGCATTCAACCCCCTTCGTCGCCATTTCACGGAAACCTATCACATTAGGGACATCTGGACTCTGATAGTGGTAGTGTTCTGAGACCCGCTTCAAAGTCAGACTTAAACTTTAACCCCTGAATTTAACTCTAGTTAACCCAACCATATCCTTATCCACCCTGCCCCAGGACATCCTAATAGCCTTAATAGGTCCTGACATTTTTTCTAACTAAAAAAAAAAGACTTTTTCTCTCAAGCCTAAGGCCAGCAAAGAGTAGCACGACGTGAATCATGAATCATCATTCCATGGTGATATCTAACAGAAATGATTAGACACTATCGAAGAGGGGATGGTTTATCGAAACGGCGTTGTTCTGAACATATAATTAACTGAAAACATCTACCACTGGCAGAACGCTCGTTACCAAACGATTGTTAATAACTGAGTAATGATAGGGCCATCAATTCGTGGCCGATGGGCGAAAACAATTGGCCGCACAGGTGATCCGAGTCCTGATCTATCCTCGGGGGCAACGAAACTAAGCCAACGCCTGCCGGGTTGGCAGCCATGCAGCTCGTCGTCCTGAGCTTCGAGACGCTCGGACGGACACGGCCAACAAATGGTCTTGGCGGTATAGATCCCTATCTTAGGAGTGGTATATTTATGTGAAGCTCGTGTAGGTAATATACCAAGAGCCGGCCCCGACTAAACTCGGCTACGTCCAATTCTAACCACCCTACTGCCTTCCAGGACTCGTTTCTTCTTGCTTCTCTTCTAACTCGCTACATCCCCGACGCGCTCCTTCGCCTCCACGCGATCCTCTTCCTTACATTCTGGATCGGGTTACGCCTGTCCACGGCATCCTCCTTCATTCCCTCGTCTAACCTGGATAACGGGACATGGTCAGAATTTTTTAGAAAAATGCAGAAACTCCAATTCATCTTGTCAAAACTGTTGATCTTACCGTCAGACTTTAAAGGATGCTCCATATGTATGAGACTTTGGGTACAGGCCACATGGTCCTGGCTGATACGTATAGTTTAGGTACGTACCCACAGGTACAGTACGTTTAGAGAGGTAGAAGGGAGGTCATTGAAAGAGGTAAAAAGGGAGCAAAAGGTAACGAAGAGAAGACGTCTTACTCCCGATGGTGGTACCTGGCACTCTGGTTCAAGTGAAGAGGGAGGATACGGGAGGAGAGAGGAACAGGGTTAGGTTAGGTAAGGAAGGAAAAGGGAGAGACGCAGGAGAGGGCACAAGTGGTATAATCGTGATAAGCAGGTGATAGATGCCCTTCGGGCCCCACTGCCGGCCCTGGCACAGACAATGGCTATTTGTTTCTGCCTCGGATACTTCCCCTCGCACGCCCTCACCAACATCTTCTTGACCCCCCCCCCATCCTCCATCCACCTTTGGGTCCATCTTACGGGTTCCTCAGCTCTCATGCGCTCAACGGTGAGACTCCGTCCGGGCCCAATGGAGACCACTCTTCGGGTGTAGACCCCTTCTGGCTTCGGCTAAATCACATCGACAGATAATCACAACTTAATTTACCCCCAGCTGTGAAGTCATAGTAGCCCGTAGTTACCGTCGAGTCACCAGGACCAGCATCAGCGCTTACAGTATAGTAGATGCTTTATACGGTAGAGTGCCGAAGAACTTGAGGAACATGCTACGGGAGCCATTGCCCATTCATTGTATGCAGATGGAGCCAGTGTCGCAGGGCTGGGAATGAACTTCTAAGAGGTATCTTGGAACAGGTATGATATATGTATATATGCGACATATGTGCAGCCATACTTCGATGACAAGGGACTCCATTTTCCGGGTCCCTTTGGGCTACCGATTTTACACGATAGCGTCTTCTTGGATTTTCTATTAGAATTTTTAGGAACACCTTGTGTAATCAGGATTATGGATTCTTGAATTCCTTAGCGTATGTAATTAATGGAACCATTCTTACCTGTCACTTTTTATACTGTTTGTGTGTTACTTTATTTTAATCCACCATGCTGCCAACGTAAGAGGATTCATTGGTTGGGTCGATAAACATTCTTTATCTCAGAGGATCTCGATCAAGACGTTTACGTGCTCGTCTTCTACGTGGCTCGGATCCTCTTCCTTACTCTCTCTCTCTCTCTCTCTCTCTCTTTCTTTCGAAATAAATAGACTCCCTCCACGTCCACTTTCCTCGGGTCAGCACCTCATGTCGTGGAGTCACGTCGGCCAGGGTACGGACCCCCTTACTTCTTCTCGCGGCAACAGAGATATCAGATTTCCCGCGGGCCTCAAGGAAATAATTGTCTCCTTAAAGACATCAGCACGCTGGACACTCATTTCGACGGATTTCCGAGGAATGGCTGTGGACTAAGGACTTTATTAAAGAATGATCGGACAGCGAGATATATCTAGATTCCAAGAAGCCTCACGTCCTTCTAATAACCTGATGATGCTTAGATATGACGTGTATGGGATTGCGTTATTAATTAGTCACTTGATTATTGCCCTAAGCTCGAAGTTACAATACCGTACGATATATATATATATACAAGTCATGGATATATAATGTGCCTATATAGATACGTGATAAAGTCGATTTAATCTCACTGCTCGTAATCAATGAATTCCTTCTGATTTCCCTGGGGAATTCCAGGGCACTTGGCTCGGGTCAACTCGTGAACACGAATAGGTAATCGATCACCGATTGGAAATTGAGGTTATCCGCACCTGGGAGAATTTTAATTTAGAGCAGCGGATTTTCCGTCTTCAGTCAGAGCGCACGGAGGTGATTTCACTGTCTATCGCCGGTGAGGACGATGAAATCGCGCCGCCGTCGGTCAATTAAGGATCGCGGCCAATTCAGAGCGGGGGCTATTTTAATGAGATTATTAATCTCAATCACGGAATTGACTTTGGGTCTGGACTCGGAACGATTTCACACGGTTCCCCGCCGCGGTGATACGTATAAAACGAACCTAGTGGTAGATACGTGCCTGGCACACGGTACTCACAAGCACGCCTATTTTAATATATCAATCACTCGGCCGAGTCAAGGCGGCCGTCATTAAAATTCATTTGCCGCCGATTCAGCCGCCCGTAGTCCGGACTTGCGCTAATCATTACAACGATTTAATCCGGCTTTAATTTGATCGCTCTCTACGTTCGAACGTTACACTTTGCGCATGCGCGATACCGACCAAGCACACGCGCACGAGCGCCACCCATCGTCTCCCGCGGCACTTCGTTCGCTACGAACTTATCCTTCGTCTTGTGTACCTTTCGGGCGTTCGCGCGCGCCACAATCGACGCACAATGGATCCCGATGATTAATGATGATTGGCCGTGGACCCGTTAATGACGCAGTGACTTGACGGATCCGCTAACTAGCCCTTTGAGTAGAGTCTCGAGCCTCGAGCCTTTTTGTGCGGCATCCGCGACTGGCGCACCCTCTACAACATAACCCTACCTGTCTGACAGCCTTTGGATTTTCAATTTGTGTCTCGTGCGTAACTAGCTACTCAACTTGTAAGTAAATAGACACGTACACCACTTGGCAGTGCTCCTTTATAATCTCTCTTCTATCCTCAATGATATTTAACATATATTTATAAATTCCCATAACACATGGAACAATTGAGAGCCCCTGATTGTACGGAGGCACATGACGACTCTATCAGGCCCCAGGGCGTATATACCTACTACGTAGGCAGGTTAGGCTCACTTCGGACCCCATAACCGCGTTATCCCTTATTTAAATACACACCCACTACCATCACCAGAGATATTACCTTACTCGTAATCCTACCTGCGAGCACTCGAGACACGGAGAACAAAAGGGACACGGCTGAAATCGGTGTGCACGCGAAGGAATAGGAGAATTGAACTGAGAGTGACCAATGAAGAATAAGAGAATAACAGAGAGACTAGAAAAGATAGTAGCGAAGCTACAGTGAATAAGAGGTACCTCACGAGTATCCAGATATACAACCATGGTAGATGCTTTACCGTTTACACGCTAGAGAGCCCAGGCATCAACGCTGCAGGAGTGCAGGAGTGTCGGAGAGAGAAGAGGAACTATACCAGGAGTACGCGACGTCAGGACTCTCGCCTCTGTCGAGCCACCATGTATTATTTATGAACGAGCGCGAATATTGACCAAAATGGCCGGGGCGAACATTGTTTTATTAATCTAATCGATCCATAAATATTAAACAGTTGATTTTCGCCAATGCGAATTACCAGCCGTCGACTTAACGATGGTGTAACTATACACAGGGTACGTCTGCCGGGCAGGTTTTGTTAATTGGTATCCCTGGCGAAATTGCTGGGGCGCATGCGCGCCATGCATTTTAATCAACAGGAGGATGAAATCTCGCGAAAGCAAGGACTACCTAAAAATTCAGTGACAGCTATCGTGCAGGTACTTATTATATATATGCATTCAATTATTTCATTGACTTCTATTTCGATCATCGTTATTCGTCTCGTTTAATTTTTATATTTTTTTCGTTTGTTTAAGGTTATCAACAATCACAGTCATTCGACTCTGATCGAGGTGGTAGGACGAGGACGCTGTTAAACACACATTTTAGGTACTCTAACCGCAATGCGCGCTTAACTATAGTTTAGTGGAAGTTAAACCGATGATTATGTTGTCAGGCACGGTGGGTGGAGAGAAAAGTGATCGCTCACCGGCCATACGTGAGCTTCGCTTGTATAGCCCGTACGTGCGCACTCTCCCGAGCCACCAGGACTCTGCCGTAAACGTTACCTACTCTACGCGTGTGCTCGCTGCTATAAGTAAGCCAATTCATCAACATTATCACTGACGGACGTAGTTACCTTGCGACGAGCGGTTCCCAACTACCTGCCATGCTGTAACGCGTCCTCGAGTTCGCCCTGGTACGCATAATCAACAACCTGTGGACTACCGACTCTTCGTTCCTACCATGTGGCCACACTTGAATCTCATTCTCTCTCTCTCTCTCTCTCTCTCTCTCTCTCTCTCTCTCTCTCCAGCTCTCAGCAGCTCTCCCGTCAAGGCACGAGGGACTCGACGTGATGGCCAATCCACGTGGGAACTCCTGAGGAATCGATGGCCCCGCTTTGGAGCCGATAATCACGTCGATAATTATGATATCGAAGCCGTTACGTGCCACAGGGCTGCCACTACGCTCTGCATGGTCTTTTTCGTCTTTTCTTGATCCTTCGTTCTACCAACATACCTGTAATGTCTTATGCTGGGAAAAAAAGTATGGTACAGTAAAGATTATTGTACTGTTTTTCGTTCAATTAGTCCAATGGTGTAAGAAAATATCTTTCTTATTTACAGTCATCTGGTAGTAGTGGAGATTTGCTACGATGGAGACTGATAGCGATACCGAAATCCTACTGCCAATTGGAAGTCACGGTTCACCCATGCGCCGCTAGAGGCGCCTATTTGCCAGTCGACGATCCGGCTGAGATAAGTCCGTAAGAGCAAGTCGCTCGAGTAGGTAACAAGTAACGAGATAACTAGTAATAAGAAGGTAATGACTGCGCGTAGAACGCAAGGCGCAAGAAAGTTGGACGGGAGGCCGTAACTCCGGACGCTTAACCGAACGGTTAACCGTTTTCGTTCGGTAAAATCACCGACGGTTAAATCAACAATGTTGACCAATAGGAAGCGGCGAGACGCAGTAGTGAGGCGCTCCGGTTATTGCTCGTAAAGCGATGAGTTTTTGAACGAGGCGAAAATAAATATTTCGCGATAAGTATATACGCCAAGGTACCAGCGCGGCGTCTCGTCGAATGAACGCCAACCTGGCCTTTATACATTTACTACCATCGACATCAGGGTGCGTTCACAACGTGCTTGTTAGGATGGGCGACAAAAAAATTCGCGACCATCGCACACTCGCCACACGCAAATGGAATCTCCTGGCGACCGAGCGACACGACGGGTTTTCAAGTAAAACGATACTACCACAGTAAATCCATGGTTTCGACGCCATAAATATTTTCTGGATCGACGCGCGAATTACGAATTATCCACCGTTATAGGGAAGGGAATGTTTATGTGATTTTTACTATATATATTTATACATAGTGTCATATATATACATGCATATACCTACATTAGAGACTGTGAATACTGCCTAAGCGCACAGCAAGATGCTCCGTGCGCGTGACGCTGGGCCATTATTTTCGCTCGATGAAACAATTAGTCAGCGACCCAAGCAGCTGTAATTAGACAAAGGATAATTAGCATGAGGTTTTGCTATCTCAGTGTATCTGAACATTGAGCGCGGGACTACTAACTGCATGGCGCAGTATCTATAGGTATCTGAACTAGACAGGAGCATTCGAGTGCGAGCTAATTGGAGGAACCAATTGGAGGTGCGTCTTTACGACGCGAAGATTTGCATAATTTTTTCCTGCGCTTAAAAGAAACAAAATGTAATATGTATGTGTAATAAAGGTGTAACCGATTTTTAAAAACCGTTTAAGACGGCGAACGCTGATACCGGACTAGTCGGTCCGTGACTTTTGAACGGCCGTCGAAGGCTGCCCAATCCCGTTGATATTTCTTTTCTTTGTCTTTTCTGTCTTTCTTTTTCTTTTATTATATCCCCCTAACTCGATTCCTATCCCAGACCACTCGTACCGCAACGAGCTTCCAATTAACCAACAATCCAAAACAATTTGGACGACGCGATCCTATCTCCTCGTACGGGAACGTGTCGTCAGGGGCGTATGTCTTTGTTCGCCACCCGGGACTTGGGCCCATTCCATATGAAGACACCCACGAAGTCCTTCGAGACTAAAGAGACTCGTGTAACAAGATCCGGGTTTTGATATTGTGTCCTTTTTACACCAGGACTTATTCCTGTCATGCGGTGTAGCTGTCCAGGACCCTGTGTACTTGCAGAACCGTAATTTTTCAAAGGATAATAGGGATGCCATGGCATTTTCTACCGCCGCGAATGGCCAGGATAGACACCGGCTACGTAAGTGTATCTACTGGAAAATTGCAAAAGTAAAAAAGAAAAACGGAGGGTAGCAACTTTTTTCGTATGACCACCATGAGCGTAAGGTGCATATCACTAGGGGTCCACCTAGTGATTGGTACTTGAAGGTGGAAGTGGCACCTAAAAAGTTCCCACATGCTGTGCGAATTACTCGACGTGCATACTGAGCATCCTGTTATTCTTGCAGGTTGGAAAATAAGAGCAACCCAAGTATCTACCATCCGTAGGTGGAGCACTTCTGTACTCTATCCCGATAAGCTGAACTCTTTGCACGCTTATTACCCTAATGCCAGTACTTAACACACTGTTGGCTGCACGTATTTGTCGTTTATTTGTCGTCCTACCAACCGGGTGTTCCGTTAACGCTAATTTCCCCAGATGGATATCCCGAGAGTTCATCATGGCGAGGTCAATTTTAAAGCCTCGAAACACAGTACTGTATCCGTTGAAAAATTTGTACATTTATTATTTTTACAATATTTATTAGATTTTTACAAAAAAAAATAAGGAATCGCTCGATCATGTTTTTTCGATGATAATGTAGTTGATTTAAAAAAAGATAACTTTTACTTGATAACAATCAAAGTTCTCTACCCCTGGTATCACCCGGTATACAGAATCCTGGTTTGCGATGCTGCCCCAATGGCGTGGCGTTCTCGGCAGATAATTATCACTAACCATCAGCTATTTGCGAGGAATGGCTGATAATTGCTACGTTGTTCAAGCTCCGCGAGCGATAACCTAGCTACGACTCCTTACGTATCTACGAAGTGACTCCAGAGGTCCGAGGTCCCTTTTTTTACGCCAGCGGGGTCCGTAGTTCCTACGTCTCTCCCATTAAACACCGTCCATTTGCAAACTGATCCAGAAAAAAAATCTATCAATACTGAGTAACTAATAGGATTCATCTAGGAAAGCCTGTATAGTCAGTACTGTCAGTTAATAATTCATGTCACGCAAGGTCTCTTATTATACATAATGCTATATGAACCATAGATACTGATTCGTACCTTGCTTGAAAAGATTTTCAAATCACGCGCCACTTTACTAACCAGAAGTCATCTGCTCAAAGAGTAGAACATTTGCTATTTGAATTTCTTAAAAGTTCCCGCGTAATCATGGTCGCCACCATGGGAGAATGGCTTCTATCAGCCAGGTTACACGGCCGCCCGCGGATAGCTCTCTTATTGCCTTGTAAATTGTAATGGAACACCGGCAATTTAATAATCTCGGCGCATTCACTTAACGCAGTGACGCGAGCGCACATAATATTATTAATGGCGGCGTATATCTCGTAGGATACGCGTCGAGGCGTAAGCGATACAACCAAGCAAGCGTTGGTACAAGCAGGGAAACATAGAACAGGAAAGGTGGCAGCACCGTCGCGGTAAGATATGGCACTGCGCTTCGCTTGAAAACTGGATAGAAAAGGGCTGAATCGAAGTGAGAGGGTTATACGAGCAGTAGTGGAAAGAGTACCATAGATAGGGGACTTACGGGGGCCTTACTCGACAGTCCGGGGGAAGGCAATAAGGTGTAATCAGTTTAATGAATAGTCGCTGCGCGTAATTATGGTGAGCTCGCCACACAGGTTCGCTCACGATGTGGAAGCGAATGGACTGGGCCCAACGCCTGCTTTGCCAAGGGAATAAGGCCCCGATCAAACTTCCACCACTGTTCCCTGCCATCCATTCCATTAGGCTTTGCATACGGATATACGTAGGTCGTGTGTAGTTATATTTCATTTGCTATATATATATGCATATATACACTATCTAGATATCTACTGTTTTGTTTTTGTTTCCCGGGAAATGAGACGAAATAAAACATGGCCGTCGCGGAGCGGGCCTAATCGTATTGGATTGATTCGCGAATCGATCTCGTACCCTTACAACAATGGCAATGCGATCGATTTAAATGAAAGTGAGGAGGGTGGTAGTGACCCGCGAAATTCCCCGTGTGATTGCCACTCGTACTCGAAACCCCACGCAGTATACTAAAGGAAAAATGGCTACGATCAATTTTATGGTACGGATTGTACGCTCGTGTGTAATACTCGTATGGTTGATCGGATACGTAGAATTAGGAACGCTCAGATCCAAATGAAATTGGGGCGAGCAAAAGAGAGAGGGGGAAAAAAGCAGTGAATATAAATAATACAAAATGAAGCTGCGAGTGGATTCAAAATTGTCAAAAGTCTCGAAATTATCAAGATCATGAGAACGGATGAGATGTTCATCCTTGGGGTAAGTAAACAGGAACGGAATATAAGGGAGTATTACGACTGATCAGGATGAGCAAGTCGCAAGACTTCGCTGATCCCTAGGTGTCCCGCAATTTGCTTCCTTGGCAAATCTCAGAAACGAAAGCCTGAATTACACAGTGGAAATTGTTACTGGCAAAGAGTATCAATAGCTCTGAGACTGCGGGTACGTATCTACCTATCTACCTGCCAACCTCCTACATGTAATCCAGGTACTACGCCCCATCCAGTGAGCAACTTCAGCATCGTCTACATGGCACAGCGGCAATGCCTAATAACCAAGTATCATCCGAGAAGTACGTAGCTGAGAATTTCTACGATTCCAGATCCGATCTGGGATCTAATGTGGGCCAGCCACGCGAACCTATCATAACCTGGGCCAACGCGAGGTCTAACCACATGTTTGCCCACGTAACCTCTTCCCGGCTCGGGTAAGCCCTGACATTTGCATTTCTACGAGTGGTAATACCCGGTTGTTCTTCTCCATCGATCGGTAAAAAATCTTTAAAAATATCACAGCAAGCAGGACACAGAGTCCAGCTAACGAAACAACACCGAAAACCAGGTAGCAGTCCCGTACTGGATGATCAGGATCAAGCTGGGACTTTGCCCTGGACCAAATACGTATCCTTAACCACCCACAGGACTTCTTCGGTACCGACCAGCACCTACCCTCTAATGATCGAAGAGGCTGGCTCCGCCTATGGGCACTTTATATGCACTGTGAATATTTACACGTACGTATTGAAATATAGTATATATGCCGATTGAGGTTTTCTCAGGGACTGTGAACCCTTGGGTAGATAACTCTTGTCTCGCGATCCGGTCTTGTACACATGACTCTCTCCAATGAGAGGCAGACTGGGATACAAGTGAGAGAGAAAGAGAGACAGCGTGGAGGTGCGAGATAAAGAGTACCGCTGATACATCCATGCTCGTTGCTACGTGGTGCACCACGCGAGCCAAGTGTGGGGACACGCCTGGCTCCCCACACCCTGGACAATATTGTAAACAAAATGGTACCACTATTTCATTGGTAACCTGACACCCCCAAGCTGAACCCACACGCATCGCCACCACCTTCTTCCCCCTGGACCGTCGATGCTGGTTCCATCTCGCTCCGGTACGTCTTGCGGCAGTCCTATTCCACGTCTCTCTTCCTCATCTCCGACAGCCTCTTCGTCTTCCTGTTAGTAAGGTACCAACTCTGTCTTACCTGTACCGACTAGGACCTGACTGTGGGTACCGACTCGGGACGCTGATTTGAATCCTTCCTCCGGAGGATGGAATTAATGCCAATTGAAATCTTTTGACTTCGGGCTCGCTGGTCTGCATCTTCCTGACCTTAGTTTTACCTCTCCTGACCTCCTCCACTTCTTTCTTGACCTTTTCTTCCTCTCTCTCTTGGTTTTTTTAGCTCCTCATCCAGGATCTGATCAATGCCGTGTCCGTATCCTTGGGAAACTACAGGGACGCTGATGCATCCTGCTCCGGAGTAATAATGGAATGCACCTGTGACTTCCTGCTAAAAACAAACAAGATCAGCCTGCGAATGCAGAGGGAGATCTTCTCGTTCCTGGATGCTGTGATCCTGGGGATCCTGGAGATTGAACGCCCGCGCGCGATCCATTACCTACCTGCGCATATTGCAATGGCCTTTACTTTACAAAGTGCAACAAGCTTCGAGAATTCCACGGCGCCGCTTCCTCTACCTCGTCATCTTCATTCCCAGCCGTCTGTCTACCGAGTAATGGTCTTTTCACATTCGCCACTGGCTAATGGATCACCGTTCCGTTTTACACGCTTGTGCTTCGTTGCTCACTACCTTTGACACGTGGAACAAGATCTTAGCTGATTATTTTCCACGAGTCTGCGTTATACAGGCCCTTTCAAATTTTATTTATCGGTGCGACCGTCATATTTATCTCTGACCAGCTTCCTTTTACGGAGCTCGGTATACCCTTACAAATTAAATCTTGTATGATATAACGTGTCTGGATACCTAATAAGTAGCATCGAATTCTAGAGGTTAATTCAAGTTCGATTTGGAGTTTACGATGCTCGTTACCTAGTCGGACGGTGGTCCAGCCTTTTACGCCGACACAGATTTATCCCGTGGCACACATTCGTAGAAGGTCGTGTTGCAGCGTGTTATTCAAATGTAACAAGGCCTAACTCCACCGACCGTGACACCCTGGCTCTGACTTATCGATGTAACTGGAAATTATAGACAGCCCCTAAAATATTCCAGTACCTATATACGTACTCCACATACCACACTATGGGTGTTGAGGAATTTTTTCTAGCAGACGATTTTTATCATTTTCATGAACACGCTCAAAAACAAAGGGTTTGTCACCTTTTCTTTATAATATGAAATTTTCATCCACCGAGTCTCACACGAGATCACAAATCCAATCCAACACTTTCTACATTTGTCAGACACTTTAGGACCTGCCCCGCATTGTTTTCCTTTCCATTTGAATAGAAACCAGGCTTTAACCAGTGTTTTACACGCGTGGTTCCTGGAAAGAGGTCTCATCTGGGGTCCCGCGCTGCATCCAGCACGGCAGGTATACGCCCGGGCCCGTTTTGCCCATTTCGCCTGTCAGGCCCAATTTGTTGGCCCCAGGACGCTGTGTGCTCTGTTACAGTTTATGGCCGTCATTACCTCGATCGCTCGAGTAGGATTAAACGATTTGTTCGAAGGGGCCAGCCTATTTTATTACGTGGCTGGTCACATTCGATTTGATCATCGCTAGGCCCAATACAGTTAAGACGTAATATTACGTGGAATGTCCAAAAACCTAATAAGGCCCTACATAAAATCTCATACGGTCCATTTTAATCATTTTAAGATCACTCGTTCCAATATGACTCCCACTGATTCATCTTGATAGCCAGCCGATCAAAATGGCTCCTTAAAATCTTAAGTACCTATTACGAGTGTCGCACAGCTATCATAGCTGATAGGTAGGGCCCAACAGACGTCGGACCTACGTGGCTGTTGTACGAGGAGGAAGCGACCGGCTAAAGGAAGTAATAGCATCCAACCTAGTGAATTCCGGGACGACCGAGTCTTCGGACCCGTGTGGATTGTGTGCAGAATGAAGGCAAACTGTGAGGGTAATTTGCAACACTGCCAATTTACATAATCAGCAGTCCTGAACTCCCTGGCCGCAGAGTATCCTCAGTTTCCACCCTCCCCTGAACGCCCGCCCCCTCCCTATCGCCAATCTGAGAAACGCGCCAACCTCAAGCACTCATTGGCGTAAGCATCCGAATGCGTCAGAATTATTCCTTATGTCGGATTCACAGTTTTGCGGTTCGGATCCAAACGCGCCATTGGTACCCAGTGACATATGAAAACGTGCTAATTGTCCCCACGTCCACGTTACTTGAATTTCAATTGATCGACTATCGATCTGACCGTTGCGTCATACCGCCCTGGTTAATCCCATAGTCCTAGTAACGAATACACATGACGTAAAAAGAAATCTATTAATTAATCTTAATTGGGACGAATCCGAGCGTCGCTCGTTCCACCTTGACGTCATCTCTTCCCGTATAAACGGTAATTATCGCTCGCGCCTTGGAATGTCAATCAATTGATTTCGCTCGGGATACGCAGGAAGCTACCTGGAATACGGTATGAGATAGGAAGGTCGTTGCCATATCTTCCTAATAGTCGTTTGGCAACGGACACGACACTTTTGCCAATCGATTTAATAGAGACCTTAAGCCTGGATCGATATACCTTTCGTATACGCAGGTGCGGATCTTCTTTTTTCTTATGCTCCTTTCTTTAAGGTTACTAATTCTTAACGGATTCACATTGAGCACACCAATCACGAATTGGCACATTTCTGCGCGGACGCAATGAACACGCCATTGCCATTTGAGCTTTCGTAATTGCGCAACCCGCCCGACTGTCACTTTGGACGAGGAAAAAATGTTGGGAAGAAAGTCGAGCGACATTAAAGATGGCTTCGAGTTCACGCTTCGGAGGGCGCCTCTCGTGGCTACGAGACGTACCAAATATTTCCAAGGCGTCAAGATTCGGCATCGTCATTAACCGTGATCATCATCATCATCATTAACGTCTCGTCAATAGCATATACAACTACGTACACGGTGTACGTATTGATAATTATTTTACGAAATTTACGATAATTCTTAACGGCGATTGCTTAATGATGTGTATTATTTATTTTTTTACTTACAGTCGGTTCGGCCCTGTTTCTTGGACACGATACGAAATACAACGTAATTAGAGGGAGAATCAGCGATCGCTCTACTGTAATTACTCGCGCTGGACGTAGCGATTATAACGTAATTATACGGAGCAATGCTTCGTGTGTATCGGTGCTGCTGCATGTGGATCAACGTTGCCAACTTCCGAACCGGATTTAATCGTTGGTTCTCACTGAATACGGTTTATCCGACATAAGCGTCAAGAGTAATGGATGAAATTTGAATCTGATTAAATTTTTTTTTTTTTCAAAATTTTTATATCTTTTTTTTATCTATCTACGGTCACACGTATCTCATTCGGCGTGGCATTGGCAATCGTTAAGGATTCAATTTGTACGGCTAGGAAAAGTGGAGGCATTTTTAAATGAGACATGCTGCGAATGCGTATCGTGGAGAGGTGATATAATTTATTTCACTATATCGTTAAAACACGAACTGAATCTTTCGATCTCTTCGGACACTACTTCGTACGTCGAGTAAAATCACATTTCTTATTTACAAAAGTATGTACAGCGTGTGGCAGAGCGAGCGTGTCCTGACGTAGAAATCTGGGAAATTACCTGCGCCATTGTTTAAGGACGTATCGAGACCCGATTCGATTATTGAATTTACCAGGTGACTCGCAGCGAATAAATGTTTCGTGTCTCCAGTAAATGCACAGATTCGCGAATAAGGTCTCGATAGGGGCGGTTCATATATTCTAAATTTTCAATGACGTCAGGACACGCCGCCATTTGCTCTTGGATAATAATTTAATTTAGTACATCTCAGACATCGATCGATAAAGAATACTGCTCGTTTGAAAACAACAACCTAACCTGTAAATATACATCGTACTTACTACACTGGGTTTCAAGTATCAAGTTTGGCACTCACTGTTTAGTTCCCTTTTATACCTATGTACAACCTTCGTTATATAGCTGACATTTTCGACAGGGTCGCTTTATTTTATTATTCTCGTCTCTTCTCTCTCGCTCTCATTCTAGATATATATATATATTTATTTATACTTCTATATTCCTCGTGCTTCTCTCATCGTCCCTTTACCTTCTCACTGGTCGCGTGAAAATTCCCGCAAAACTGGCTAGCAGTCTGTATTGTATTATTTACAAGTATCTAGGGTGGATCGTGTTTTGCGTGTGTGTCTGTGCGTATGGCGAATTATATATGGCAAGATATTAAATGGATATTACGAAGGACCGTCGAGAAGTAGTGGTTAGGCGAAAAAAAAAAAAGTTCATCAGCGGCTGGAAGAATTCCTCAATTCGAATGTCTCCCGCGATGATCCCATATCCGGTGTTCTTGTCCTGCGCTTCTTCCTTGCTTCCGTAGCACCGCTATTTCCGGGCCGGAAACGTAACGACTTAGCGGCGCGTAGACCCGTCTTCGACGGGCAATGGCCACCGTTAACGTGCTTCCTGTAGGGTTTGTTCCCCGCGGTTCCTTGGCAGACGCTACGAGACGGAGGTACCGACGATTCATTTATCTCGTTCGGATCTGGATTTTTTTTGCCGAATATCGCCGAAGGTTCCCGAAGAAAATTTCGTATTTTTGATATTCGGAACCCATCGATAAGATACAAGTATAAATCATTATTTTTTTTTTCGAAATCATAGTGCGAAGGAACATCGATTCGTCCCTTGCTATGGATTCATTTTCGTTCTAACGAAAGCCGCTGATCATCCGGATGCTGGCACCTAGTCCTTTCGACGTCCTTTCTAGGACAGTGCCAAGGGGGTCGTTCGGGCGAAGACGTCCATCCAAGTCTACGGGATCCTTTCCATTGGCGAGGTCATCCGATTCAAGGATGAAGAACGTGTAAATCCTTCTGGAGCAAAAGGACTCCAGGGCTTCTTGATCCTTCCTGGATTAATCCAGGCAAAGAACGTCTAGCTACGCTTCGGATCCGCTCGAGCACTCGTCAGCTTCCGGATCGATGTGTTCCTCTTCTTCGTGATGATAATCTCCAGTCTCCTGCTGCCACTTGCTCACGTGGTGAGTGTTCTTGTTGGTTCCGTTGTTGCCGTTGCCGCCGGATTGCTGTTGCGCCTTGGCCTCCTCCTCCTGCTGCATTCTCTTGTGCTTCGTTCGTCGATTTTGAAACCAGACTTTGACCTGAAATTAAAAAATAAAAAATCATATACTTTATAATCCGCTTTAATTTAACAAGGTCACTTAAACTCCCTGTCGAATAGAGTTCCGCTAAGATCCCGCCATTTTATCCGGAGGCACTTATCTCTCTCCCTTCCCAGCATCCAGCCCAATTTCACGCTCGATCGTTTGGCCCGTCTCAACTACCCCAGAGCTGTATACCGACTCACGGTGCCCAATTCACCCTCGCCAATCCGGGTTCGTGCTTCGCCACAAACGTGGGGCCTGCCAAATTAAGTGGCAACTAGTTAGGGCTCCCCAAAGTGCTCCCTTCGTAAAAGCCACCCCTAAACAGGCTATCCGGTTCCAAGGCTCATCCCCATATAGATACCCTCTCTCTCCTCTCTCTCTCTCTCTCTCTCTGGAAGGGTGACTCCAGTCTCCATTGTCAAAGAATTGACTGCGAGACTCTCGTCGCATTGTATTCGACGTGCACACGCGCTTTTCACGGCTCCTGCCTCTGATCCATGAAAAAAAAAAAAAAGAAAGGGGTGACCTCCCGACGGCAGGGAGTCACGGATGGCAAAGGGGTGAAAGAGAGCCAGCCACGGAGAAGGCAAAGTAAGGAGAGCAAGAGAACTGGGTTATTACAAAGAGAGAAGAACATTATACGTTTTTGAAGCTATCAACGCGTAAAATCAGCATTGTGCCGTTTACGCTCGGTGGATTTAGGGGTCAGGCTTTGTCGGCCGAGTTCGATACTTATATAATCCGGGGAATTCGATGTTTGTCTAACGCACCGTCGGACGTGAACTTAACGAGGCGACGATCAGCGTCCGTCGCGACGCTGCTCGCCGGGTAGCTACGAAAATGGCGGAATATCAATTTCGAATGAACAGCCGAAAAATGCCATACACTCGAAATACATTATTCCGGGTAAATTTGAATATGGGTCTTTTGACGGTCGGTCGATATACCTGAACCTTACCACAGTTTCACCATCCTAAGGGTGCGTTTGAATATTCGAACAAATGATACGGATATCCTACTCGAAGTTTAAGGGTAGCAAATCTGCTAACGAAGCCTTATCGATCGGGTGTTTTCCTTGGGGTGGATTCGCCCAGAGGATTCATGAGGTTTGGATAGGAAGAAGGAACGTAATAGATGTTTCGTGGTGCTTCCCACCCTATCGAATAATCCGTAGGAAACCTTACACCCTTGCGCAAGGGTGAGAGAGAGAGAGAGAGAGAGAGAGAGAGAGAGAGAGAGAGAGAGAGAGAGGCGAAAATCGCAACCCCTTCACGTTGAAACTGCTCCGGCACTTATTGGGTGATTAAGAGGACAAATAGAACAACCCCTTTTACCACCATCCTCCTGTCCTGGGGTTGCTCCTCCTGCTCGTCCTCGTCCTCCCACCCTGGACTCCACTCTGCTCGAGCAACCCTTAACCGGGTATATATACATACCCGTCGCACACTCCAACCCCCTTGTGCTATTTTCTACCCTCCTGCGCATTTGCTTCACTTAATCGAGTTAGCGGCGGCGCCCCATTTGGTAATCACCCTCTGTCCCGAGGGTTGCCATGGCGACGGAGCAGTCCCGCGTTCCGATTGGCGGACATCTCCGCGCTCCTACTGGGGTGCCAGCTTTCCCACCCCTAATGCCGGGAGATGATGGGATTGCAGGCACTGGATGAGCTAGCAGGGTCACCCGGGGGCCTCCCTTCCCTGGATTTACGCTCGGTTTAGCGATAGCGCTAAAACCGAGCAGACGCCCGAATTCAACCCCTAACCCCCTAACACATCATCCCCCCTTCACTTCAGCGTCAACCACCACGAATTATTCCTCTACTTTTCCCATAGTAAACTGAATCGCCCCGAATTGCTTATACACGGTTAGACTCTGCACCCCGTGTCTAATAAAACTACCCCTTACACCATTGCCCCCATCCCACCCCAACTGCCACCCCAAAACATACATTCTCCTATACCAACCGTGTTACCCCGAAACGAATCAAGTATCTGTCACTGTTGCGCCCTTGTAGATTCACGGCAGAGTTCAGGCCGGTTCACGGGAGTTCGCGCGAGTTCACGCCTCGGGCGGCCCGGGGTATCGTTTCGGAATAATCAGCGCGCGCGAGAACGCACGGCTAAAAGGAATATAATGACAAGAGCCGGATCGCCGCCAAATGATAAGGAACCTGCGCTTTGCCAGCGCAGGTTCAGCGCATTTGCAGAACGTTCCCTAAGTACATGCCTAATTGAAGGTGCTCCTGGGATCGGATACCGAAGTGACAGGTAGAGAGAGCCAGAGTACCTTATAGGTGGACGGGCAATGACAGTTGCGGAAAGGCAACGTTGGCGAACAGTCAGGATACAGCCTTGCGCATACACGAGGTACAGCTACGTCACGCAGGAGCATGTGCGTTGAGGTTACGCACGCTAGAGAATAATGGAACGCATCGAGCGCCGTGACCCGGTGTGCATCGATAATCGTCGTATTAATTAATCCGGATTATTAATTAATATTCTAATTACGCAGGAGGCTCTTACTTCGTTTTACTTCCACCCGCCAACCCCATCTCTGTCCCTGGACGCAGTGCCCACCTATATACCTGTACTCGCGACTCGCATCGTATCGGGTTACGTCGGGCCATAACGAGACGAGAAAACGGGGGTTCCCCTCTTGGCACGGACCTAACCTATCGAAGTCTTTATGTCCTCCGTTAAATATAATTACGTTTATTGCCCTGGCCCGGCTACCCTCCGATGCCGATTGGCTCGCTTGCCGTTTTTACGGCCGCGGGAAATTGGATATTCGCTAATGGAAATTAATATCCCCGATACCCGCACGACTATGGATATTCTCGTTGATCGCTATATATACGTATGCGTATATGCCTGTTTTGTCTATACGTCATCTCCTAACTGGCTTTCTTGGTAAAATTTTCCAACGTATCTGGTTGTGATTGTCGTTTATCTTTTTTTGTCTTGCCGGTAACGTAGATCCCTGTTTCTCTTTATCGGCGTGGGTTCTTGTCCGTGCTATTTGGACATACACGTGCCACTGGAAAATGTTCAGTTAATTCGTCCGGATATGAATTTACGGGGAATAGACGTATTTTTTTTTTTATCTGTTTCTCGCTGATTGGGGTTTTCCCACTTTATGATTTTTCTCGCGAATCCACCAATCCAGAAAGAAACCGTCGACGCTAATCCCCTCGGGGCTCGACCGTCACGCTCGAAACATTATTTTTAATCCCCCAGCGATACTCATATCGGCCTGCTAAATAAACCAGTGATATTATTTTTCAATCGCCACCCAATACGACGGTAAGGCACACGTGTACGGCCCTAAGCGTTAGGGGTGTGATATACCAAACGGCAGTCGAGGGGAGTGGGAGTGGCAGAGATATAAAAAAAAAAGTAAATGACACGCACAGGCAAAATAAAGCTTGATAGGCTGTACCACCCACCCCC